TTACCAAGGGGACAAGACGTTTCATTAACCAACACAGAACAGGCGTCATTAGCCGTTTATTACTTGTGGAGCTTTTGAGGAGGAGATCGGAGCACTTATGGATCTGTCCGGAGTGCTGTGATGATAATCCTTTCTAATCCCTAATCACTAATAAGCAAGTCACTGAATTTGAGGAAATTTTCCTACTCTAATATTAAACTTACAATGTCCTTGTCTCATTATCTCTTTTGAATAAAAGAAGGCAAAACCTATGTTGGTGCATTTAATTGTTAAACATCTGTGAAAATGCCTATGTTTATGATACACAACTGAAAAAAAACCAACAACACTTCAACTGCAGTCATTTATTTTTTTGACCGAAAACTTTCAATTTTCTCATACTTTAATTTTTCAGTTTGTTGTACGTCTAAAATCTAAAATCTTGACGAATATAATAAGAAGAAACATGAAATCTGATGTGGATATTCCTTTTACAATATTATAGGTAGCAATATAAAAAAAAAGACTATTTTGTTAAATCCTTTCTTAAACAAAAAGCCTTACAAAGCTACTTTTTCTGACCTTTCTTACAAACATGAATTTAAAAAAAAATTATTTAAATAAACTAGTACATTGCCCCAAGCAGGATTAAAGTTCACGAATCAGTAATCTAATTCTTAATACTTATGTTTGTTTCTGAAAATTTAAGATTCTACATACATGTGTTTTTCAAGATGTTGGCTGTTGCAATGGCAACCATGATTCATATTTAGATTTAAAGTGTCAAACTGTATGAGTACACATCACTAAAAACAACCATAAAAAAATAATTGATCTAACATTGTTAATAATAATTTTTTTTAAACAATTTGTTATCCTGACCACTAAATAATGGTTGCATTTTCCTGTTATACATAACTTACTGATCCTATCATTAACAGCTTCAGAATGTATGCCTTCTCACTACCCTTACTTGATGACAAATCCTGTATCTAGTTCATGATTGTTTTGGATGTTTACTCCTCATATTGTTCTGTGCATCGCAGATTGGATTTAATAATGAAGGACTAGTAAAAAACGAGGAAGTCGGTCTCAAACCAGCCATGTTCATTTGCTTCCTGCAACTATCATGGTAAACTATAATGTTACTTTTTTATACACAGATGACCAATATAGCAATTTCATCAACTGAGTACTGTGTGGCATATAAGTGGTGGCATACAAGCTTATACAATGAAAAAAGTCTCATTCATCATTCTTGTGAAATCCAACATGATTTGTAATGCCAGGTTCGATCCCAGTTGCGAGCTTTGCACTGGTTTTAGAAGTGGTCGAGAAGCCTACCATCCTGAAAGCAATGGTAAACTACTGGACGTAAACTTGCATAGAAAAACCACAACAGCCAAAAAAATGTTGGGGTTGGTTCTGCAAAGTCCTGTAAAGGGTATGCAACTAACTTAATGGTGAATCCTGACTTTCCAGTGATAACTTATGAACTCAGCATTATCTTATTTTTATTGTGAAGTTCATCATTTATAAATCTAAAGCATCAACAATAAAACAAGAAATATTGAGCCTTTTACTGGTACTGACACAGGATAGGATGGGATGTGGAGGGGGCAGGGGGTGATAGGTTGGTTGCAGTGACTACTTGACTTAAATGTACTGTGGTGCTGAGTTTCAATCCTGTTTGTCAGTGTATCTTCAATGCATATCTTTCTGGCATGAATAACAAAGCTTATAAGGCCACGTTTATACTGGACGGGTAAAAAGCCAGCACAGTTTGAGGTATTTATTAAGTTAATATTTCAACTTTTCTATGACAGACAAAGTTGCAGTGCAGCGTATTTATTAGACAGTTTCAAGCTGTTTGCTCACAAGTGATAAGAGCAGACGGGAAAGTTCAAGGTTTGGTGCCTCCAATTCATGCTGATCCCGAGGCTCCTATGGCCCCTGCTCATCTACGAGGTAAGCTAGAGGGCAGCTGAGGCTATGGAGAGGTTAACCAGCAATGCCACGAGGAAATGGCTGGCAGTTTAACCAAGCCTACATATATGGCCTTATACTGATGAAAAGCGAAGCTTGCTCTCCCATTTAAGTCAATCACAGAGGAATTTAAGGAAGAAAACCAGACATGTTATGAAATTGTGAGAGTCTAAACCATTGCACAAAATCCAGCCTGTGCTCAAGACAGAATGAAAATGGAAGGTCAACAATATCAGATTGACTCAGAGTGTATGGAAGACTAAGGAAGTCATGAGGCACACAGACAAACCAGAGTGTGTCAGGAAGGTCAAGGAGCTAATGGGGAACCTCTTTTTACAGTCCGAAGACTCCTCCTGTGATCGCTCCTCCATGGAGTTTCTACTATATATTTCACTCTTTTTACCGTCCGAAGACTCCTCCTGTGATCGCTCCTCCATGGAGTTTCTACTATATATTTCATGAAAATGACATAATGCAATGTCTACCGGGCCATCCAAAAAAAAAAAAACCTGTTGGTCTAACATCCTGATCTCACCTGTTTAAAGAACCAGTGTCGTTTTCCATCAAATCCAACTCAATATACAAATTTAGGTCTCAATTACTCTTAACTGGTTTAATGGAAAAACAACTTTAAAAGGTAGCAGAACACAGCCTTAAATAGTTAAGTGGAGGCCATGAAAGTTAGTCAAACTCAACTAATAAGAAAAAGTCTAATTATTCCACAGCTCACTATCGCTAGACTCTGGGCACTTGACTGATAGGTCATATTTTGCCTCAATTATTAACAACACTGAATTTATGACTACTTAACTAGGCAGAAGCAGTGGCAAGTAAAATGGATGATCCCACATTAGTATTTGCAGTGCAACAAATGAAAATGTTACCTGTGTATTTTAACTGAAAGGATTAATGCTTTTTGCTTCAATATGATGATGTAAAGTGCAGTGCAACATAGTGAGAAAAAAAAATTATTTTGCAACATGCTTGTGTCTTTTTTAAACCTTCACATAATAAACCAATATATGACGGGAAGTCAATAAGTAAGTCACAAATGGTTGTTTAAAAAAAAGATAAATTGAAAACTGTTTATTTTTACAGACACTGTCCTTTTATTTTTCAACATATTGCCCACCAATGTTGATGCATTTGTCCCATTGCTTTATCTGTCCTCCCAAACCTGCTGCATAGAACCGCGTACTATGTTTTCTAAACCACATATCTTCACTTCACATTCAATTCTGCGTTATTCGCTAAATGTCTCCCGCTAAGATGGATTTTCAGTGGACCAAAAATTTGGAAATCACTAGGGGCTAAGTCGGGGTTATAAGGTGGATATTCCAGAAGTTTCCACCCTAGATGGGTAATTTTCTCCTGAATTAACAGAGCCATATCCATATTAGTTAGTTAGTTAGTTGGGTTATCCTCATTGCACCCCGGACATGTCCATAGGTGCTCAAATCCTCCCCTCAGTATGAACCCCCCGATAGCTAATAGTACCAGTTCTATGTTGATTAACAAGTCTTCTGGCGTGTCTGGTGTGCGTCTCGTTTTTTGCTGTGCCGATCTTAATTCCCAAGTCTGCCATTCTGGCGAGTGATGTGGATTCACTGCCACCAAAGTCCTCTATCCTTCCCATTTCTCTGAGGGCGTTGATAATATCAGCATGATCCATAGGCTGACCGTCGGTAGTGATAGCGGATCCAGCCAACCTGTCAGCTCTTTCATTTCCATTGACGCCTGCGTGTCCCGGAACAAAAATAAAGGTGACTCCACGCACAGTGGACTTCTGTGATTCAAGCCATTGTCTTCGCACTGAACCTGCCTGAACCCTCCGGATCATACTCATTGAATCACTGAATATACACACGCGGGTGTATTTTTGTGTTTCAAGCCAGGCAAGCGCTTGTGTCACTGCCATCACCTCCATCGTCATGCTGGTGGTTGTCATGGAGAAGGCGCCGTTGGCTTCTTTGACTGTTCTGCCCGCTAAGCATGCTGTAAATGCCCATGCGCTTCTTCTTTGGCGTATAACAGATCCGTCTGTATAGATTATTGCATCTGCTTCGTCTGAATTTTCACCGATGAGAGTGTTGACCTCTGCATTAACAGCAACAGGATTCTCTTCTCTACATCGCCTGTTGAGTGTGACAGCCATATCCATATGTGGTTTGGCATTGTTGTGAAGGAGCAGTACTTCTCTAGTCAACAGGTCTGAACGTATTCTTTGAACTGCATCATAAGGCATCGATAGAACTTGACAGTATAAATCAGCATTCACACTGTCACCATTTTTTTTTTAAATTAGTTAAAGCCCTTCTTGACAATCAGTAAAACCTGCCCTGCTGATTGTGTAACCCTAACCCTGAATATTTGCTTGAGGCGAAGATGCACTCATGATTCATCCCAGCATGTCTTCTCCTTCGTCTGCATACTGACAGAGATGCTGCAAGAACAGGCCTAATTGGTTCATTTTGTGTTCCTCTATAAAGTGTCTGGGTATTGGCTATCCACCTTGAGCACACTTTCTAAAATTTTTATTGATCATGCATTCTGTTGTATGCTGAACCATGTAAGCACCTTACTGCAGCTGCTATAGAGTCAACCGTTACTCGCCTGTCACTTCAAATAATCTCCTCCACCTGCTGCACGGATGCGTCTGTTGAAATCTCAACAGGACGACCAGATCAGACTTCATCAACAATAACAGACAGTCCTAGAGAAAATTTGTGTACCCAGCTATGTACCGTTTTGCGGGATAAACATTTGTCAGCATACACAGGAAGCATTTCCCTATGAATGTCCTTTGCAGGCATACCTTTTGCCCAAAAAAAACCCTTAAAAAAGCACATTGTTCTTTGAGGGTACACTCAGTAAGTTTGTGTGTTCACCTAGTGCCACCTAACAAACGGAAACATAAAGTTTTGATTTTGCTGTCACCTAACGACACCCTTAGAAACACCATTTTGCTGCCATCCCATAACCATTTGTGACTCACTTATTGACTTACCCTCGTATATGGACATAAATATTCTCACCATTTACAAGACTTAGCTGAGTAGTGCGTGATGCGATGTCTTCATCACCCTGGCCCGTCATCAAGATGTGATTCAACCTTTCCAAGTTTGCTCTGCCCTGTTCTGTAAGTTGGGAAATGTTCTCTGCAGTATTGTAAATGCCTTAGAAAGATAATGATACAAAGTTTACATAGCATTTACAACTAACCATAGCAACTGATTCCCTGGTAATTAACAGTATTGAGACAAATAAAAAAATAAACTCATAAATAATCAGCCTAACCAAACAGACCATTCACTTTAGGCTTAATTATGGCAACCAAATTATAACTAAATATAAAATATTTCCACAGCTATATGGATGTAGTTACACGAGATGACGAATGTTTGTAGACCACGAGGCAAACCAAGAAGACGATGGAGAGATAATGTCCAGACAGACCTGCAATCACTTGGTGTCACCAACTAGAAAGAAAAGGCCAACCTGAGAGATGAATGCAGCAAAGAACCTCAATGCTAAAGAAGATATGGATGTAGTTACTGGCAGTCATTTTCTCCTAATCTATTTCATTGTAATGAAGTTATGTGGCTTTTATTCTGAATATAGAAATGGGAAAACTGAAGATAACAGAGGTGTAGCATTTGAGAGAATGAACAAATATATCGACAGATAAAATACAAGTGTTGGGAAAGTGACAGCTACTGCATTACTAGATCCCTCACCAGATCCATTAGGAAAACAGAAATATTTTTAGGCATACCAATATAGAAGGTAACATAGAGAAATGAGTTTCATGAATGGGCAAATGCTAATGCAAGAAGGGGAAGACAGAGTCCTACACATGACTAACAATCCACCACCCTCCCCTCATAATTCTGTCAACCATGCATAGGCCCTTAACAAATCCCTGCAACGCCCTCAGTAGACTTACTCACAACTAGTTAAGTTTTTTCTAAAGGATAAGGTAGTCTAATGCAAACCCTTCTAAGCGAGAGAGAGAGAGAGAGAGAGAGAGAGAGAGAGAGAGAGAGAGAGAGAGAGAGAGAGAGGGAGAGAGAGAGAGACAGACAGAGACAGAGAGAGAGAAAGACAGAGAGAGAAAGAGAGAAAGGGAGAAAGAGAGAGGGAGAGAGAGAGAGAGAGAGAAAGAATTGACATTTGAAGTGGTAAAAATATTTTACGCAATTAGGTCACAAGACTACAACAACCATCTTGAACTTACAAGGCCAAGGCATTTCATTTTTACAGCCATATATTTTTTTTCTCACAGATGCATTTGATGTCCTTTTAATGGCATAGCAGGGACTACATTTAGACTAACAATATAACCAGAATGTCCTTGTGAATGGAACCAACAAAGACAAACAAATAAAGGCAGATAAAAATAACATGAATAGAGAATTAACAATAGAAGCAAAGAAAAAACTGACAATACATATGATGAGCTACTTGTAAAGGTTAGAGATAGAATGACATGGTGCAAGTTGATAGGGAGCAGAAGAAAAAGAATATTTAGACTCTGCTGACTAGCCATTAAACCTCAGCTTTTATGTTTGTCAACAGCTAGCCTATATAGACAGAATCAAAACAGTTAAAATTGTTTGTTCCTCTGCTTGCAATGTCCTACTTTCGCCCTTGGGCTCTGACAGTAAAGACTTAAAACACCATATTTTGTTTCAGTGTGGCTGCATAGGCCAGCATCCGGCTGACATGTGATATAACTTTTCAGGTTTAATCACAAGAAAATATGACACATATCACTCGAAAATGTATAGAAAGCTGAAAAACATCTGTGTCACATTCATCTCCAAATTTATTATAAGGTTTATATTGATCATCAGTTGAGCTCATGATAGCAAAAATTACCCTAAAAATACAAAACTTCAAGCAAAATGTCTGTATAAATAGTTAGTCTTTCCTAAGATGGTTCTATGCAAGAGTCTCTCTTGGACTTCCCCGTTTTCTTTTTCCTTCCGGTGTCCATGTGAGGGCTTAATGGTGGAGTCTTTTCTTATCCATTCTAAGTGCATGGCCAATGTAATTCCAGCGGCGCTATCTTATAAAATTTAATAATTTTTTTTTGGTCTCTTGTCTTATATGCGTATTGGGTCTGAAATCTGTCCAGTGGAGATTCAGTACTCTTCTAAGACATTTGTTCTCAAAATTACGTTTTTTTTTAAATTAGGATCTACTGTTGCTCTACAACTCTTGCATCCATAAGTTAGTACTGGAATCACACAAGAGTTGAAGATCTTCAGTTTTATGTGTTTGTTGAGTGTCTCTGACTTCCAGATGTTTGACAGTTTGAAAAGGCACTAGATGCCAGTGCGATTCTAAATGATATTTCTCGCGCTGAATCCCCTGAGGATGTCATCTTATGATAATTATATAAATTTATGGTATTAATACTGCCACAAGAAAAACTATCACATTCATTTTGACATGTTATAGTAAGCCATGTGTATACAATTAAAATAATCTCAGCATCTCAGCAATAATATGATTTTCGCACTGTTCAGCAAAGGTATACAGCTTATTTCATAAACCTCCAGCTGTTCAGGAAAGAATTAACTGAGAAACATGTATGCAAACAAACTAAGATCACATTTAGCTTTTTGATATTATTCAAATATGAACAGTACTTCGGTTTCTAATGTGTAAGATAGGTTTCTTTCAATAAACAGATAAGTTTCTTTCAATAAACAGATACTAAACACTGAATTGTGACAATTAACAGAAAGCATATACATACCATCTCCACCACCATCTTCAGCATTTTCATATTCATCATCAGACAACTGACAGTCACTGTCTGGGTGCAGCGTCTGACAATCTGCAAGTGCTTCAAACATTGTTTCCACTAAATTCAGAAAAAATATAAGAAACAAACGTTTAAACCGCGGGTTAATAAGTATATTAATAAAGGAATGTATATGTGTTACAGACGCTTGAAAGAAAAGAATTATTCATATACAAGAAGATAGTTTTATTTTAAATTTCGTATATGTACAGACATTTTTTTCCATATTTTGACAGCTTTTTTTACGATGTCCCTTGCCAACTCATTTCTACATAATTTTACAGCTTTATAGTATAACATTTTTAGTTTTCAACTGCTGCTTACACACAAAAAAGACTAAACAATTCAGCTTCATAAACGGTCTTGTCACAACGTAAGTAATGCAATGATGAATTAGTGTACAAAGTTTCATTAAAATCTGACCCCCAAAAATGGCAAAATGAGTCAATGGGACAATGCTTTAACAAGTAATGTTACATACAAAAGAAAAAAACATTTAGTATCAGTACATTAGAACAATCCTACTGCATATACAGGATCTCTGCCTCAAGGCATGCAGTTTCTCTTGACTCTTCAGTTTGGGAGCTCATTCATTGTCCTGTCTTTCTGTTTGGTTGTCCTTCTTATACTTTAAACTATTTATATCTCTCTTCTACATCCTAGATGCTCGTAGTCTTTTCATATGCAGGCCTGTAGAAAATCCCCCCAAAAAAACCGGACAGTGTCTTGGGCAGCAGCAGCACCAAAGTTGAACTCTCTTGCTTCAGTTACAATTGCAAACTGAATGTGCCTGTGTAAGCAAAGCTGTCTTTTGAATTCTGAGTGTCCTGACACAAATCTACTAAGTAGTTTGAGTGTCAGAAAGCCTATTATAACTTAGCTAAATATATTTCTGCAGCTTGTCAGGGTTGAGCCATGTGTGTAACATTTGTCATGAATACCAGGGACTGATGCTTAGCCAGGGTGAACTGGAAAAACCTGCCAATATTGTCCTCCATTTGAGCACATTTCCTGGTATTTTGTCTATTGACAAATATAGATGCAGTGAAGCCATAACACATTTTCTCATGGATTCTACATTTGTGTTGTTTCTTATTGTTCTGTTGTAAGAAACTGTCAGTTTACGCATGGCCTTTTGTGAAAGATCACCTTCATCACATCTCCTAGGGTCACGCTCAGCTTTTAGCAGTCAGCTACAACACTGCAGATTGTTTTTCCAAGGCACTCAGTGACCGATACACTCCTCTTTCTCTATTTGAATGTCCTGCCCATATGGTTTGATCTTGGTAAGCTTCGCAAATATTTTGGTGGCACCACCAGAAAGTAGTGATGTACAGCGAAGCGTATGACAGGCCACAGACTGCCGGCACCTCCACCACTTCAGCAGATCTTTTAAAATTGTTTTCAGTGCGGAAGACATGTCTTACCAGTGGTTTCACACACCAGACAATATATGAACTAACATGCACATTTATGTAAGTGCTATCAAAGCTGACAGTAACATCTAACAAATCAGTCATGTAGAATGATTCCTGAATGATGTGCATAAACCTGTCAAACATAATTTACGGTCTGAGAAAAAATCATGTCCTCCAGATCTTCTAACTCTGAATATTTTTTTATTCGCTATGTTGCTAAATTTGTTGTGATGAAGACCTTGGAGGTTCGTATTTTCACAAAAATAACTGAATGCTGTTGCACCCATTCCATAAACTAATGCAGAATAAACAGACTGGCGGTTGATAGCAAAAACTCTATCCCTATCATGACTTCTTGCAGCTAAGTACCTTCTAAAAACTACTTCACAACAACAGCAGTAAACTTCTGCATGCACAACTAATTCTTTAGATTTTTTGCTGTTTTCAAATAGGTGGCATTTTAAGACAAGGAAAAAGCATTTGACAGAATGGATAGGAATATGTTGTGGAACTGCTTAGAAAAATATTGAATCAGCAAAACCCAACTGAAGTGTGTAGAGCTATAAAATACATCAAGTAACAGTTGCATATGAACAAAAGCAGGTACATCACAACCTTTTGAAGTAAATTCAGGAGTGAGACAGGGATGTGTTATCTCCCTGCTTTTTTTTAATATAACATACATTGGCAATATTTGCAATGAAGCAGAGAGCGAAGAAAATGATTATCTCAGAATTATCTGCAGATGACTAAGTATTAATAGCTGAAACAGAAGAGAGTTTACAGAACCCTATAAAGCAAGTCAATACTAAGTGTGAGAAATATAATATGAGGATAAGCATTGATAGAGAAATCAACATATGATGTGCGAAAGCAAAAATAGGTTATGGATCAATTAACACCACGCTTCTGACACACAGAAAGGTACCTCTGTCCACCAAAGCAAATCTCATAAGAAGGTGTTTTTTTTGGGGCCGACACTGTGCTACCGGCGCAAAACATGGACCCTCACTACACCAATAGGCGAACGATCGTAAAACCCTAAGAGATTAGATGTTTTGGGAGATCTGCGGGCATGATAACGGGAGATAAAATCAAGAATAAATTAGAAAACTAGGACTGAAAACAGTCATACAATTCATTAAAGAACAACAGATGAGATGGTTTGGCCACCTGATGAGAATGCCCTGGTACACACTGCCACAGAGAGCCATGCTAAAGAAATATAATGAACATCATCAGCAACATTATCAGGAGCAACCTAACAGAAATGAACACCAACTTGTATAATGCATGGGAAAAGAAGAACAAATGATCCTTACATCTCCCCGCCACAACACCTCGGTGAGGCAGATGGAAAGAGAAAAAAAAAAAACGAAGTTTTCAAAATAAGACTAATATTTTTCCATACTGGGAACAAAGCAATTTGATGCTTTTATCAATTTGGGAAAAATCAACTACTCCTCTGTGTTCCAGTTGTTTTTATCCACTGTCATCAATAAAAACATATTTCTGCTAAAGGATGTCACAGATTCATACATATCTCCTTTAAACTGGATTCAGGTTTTTTCTGCAAGAAAAGAACCACTTCCAGAAGAATACCATGGTATGGAATCATTCACTGTGAAAATTCTAGTGAGACCAGGAAACACTGTTTCAGGGGGTTGCAACCTGAATTTTATCTGATGGTTAGTTTGTCGACAGATTATCGTCATCGCACATTGAAGCATTCAGTGCATAAGTGCTCAGATCCCCTCTTCAGTATCTTCCTAAGCATGCAGTGGCTTATGACACCAGTTCTGTATTAGTTTACTATTCTTCTTTAGGCCCCTGTGTAGCGCTCTTGTCTGGATTCACCCCTTCTGATGCTATGTTCGTGTAGTCTCGTCAGTGTTGCAGATACACAATCATTACTTAATTGGTTTAACTGAGCCACCTCACTGAAGAAATTCAGTAAATCAGACCTGTCCATTGCTTGTCTCTTTCCCACTGAGCATCATAGCCCTCAGGACACTCCATAAGCGCTTCGTCCATATTTTCAGCAGCAAACAAAGAGTTCCAATTCTGACAGCACCAGTAACTGTCTGATTGTATATCCATCTCACCTTTCCATTGAGTGTTCAGCATCAGCCAGATCCCCTGGCAACTCCTCGCAGCTCCATTATTCTCAGACTGTGATTACCTATTTGCGCTTCCACACTGTTCACTCGCTCCCAGAAAGCCCTCACAACATCTAGCATGTCATACATCAGTTCACCACCAAGTGGTGCAGAACCAGCCTGTCTAACTGACTGCTCATTTCCTAACACACCAGCATTACCTGGAGAGAATATCCATACCCGAGACCTCTGAAGTGATGCTTGCAACTCTGCACGGAGCATACCTGTCTCAACATGCTCTGTGAGTCAGTTACAATCACGGCATGTGTATACAGCTAATTCTGAAGCCAGAAGAATGCAGTAGTGACTGCCTCCACCTCAATTTTCAAACCAGACGTTGCGATATATGCTAGGCTTTGCTGCACTAAGTGACGTCCGTTCGCTTTTGCTATGAACCACCACGCACTATGTTTGTCCCTCAACACAGAGCCATCTATATAGATAATCACATCACTTGGGCGGGAATTGTCATGAATCATTTGTTGAACTTCTGATTCTGCAGCACAAGCTGGCCAGTCCCTGCACTCACGACCCAATGTGTGAAGAACCCTACACAAGTCTGAAACCTGCTCAGACACTTTGACCCACTCCTCACCTCGCACAAATTTATCAAGCATGCACACAAGTCTGATTGTGTCTTCAGCTTGCGCCATCTAAGACCCTCTTCTTTTTAGTCTGTGACCCTTAGCTCTACCTAGGGCTTCATGCAGGAGGTGCTTCTTGTCTGCAGCTACTCTGAGATATGACTTTGCTTGCAGAAGATTGAGCCTATCTGCAATAATAGGCAGTGCAAGCATACAGTGGAACCTCGCTTAACGAGCATAATTCGTTCCAAAATCATACTCGTTATGCGAAACAATTTTTCTCATATAAACTAATGTAAAATACGATAATGCGTTCCACGCCGGAAAAAAAAATACACAATGCTACGTTTAAAATTTAAAGGAGAGTGAATTATCTTCATCTTTTCTTCAATTCGATTTGCAGAAAAAAAGTCTAAATTATGATACATAGCTAATTATTTTTTTACTTGAAAGATGCTCAGAGACATTTGTTTTTGCCGTCGCTTCAACATTTAGTGAAAATGCGACACAGCATTATCAGTAAATAAATTTGCAACTTGCATAGTCACTTCCTTATTAGGGTGATGCTTCTCAATATAAGATGCAAAGGTTTACCATGATTTCAGCATTTCTCTTATTTCGCCAGAAGATTGTTGCTTTTCTGTTCAAACTTTCCTCCAAAACTTCTTGCTGTGAAACACAGTGCAACTCCATAAGCTCTTTGGTGGTCAGATCTTGGCTGTGCTCTTCCGCAAGCTCTTCGATATCAGTGTTATCCATCTACAATCCCATAATAGTGGCCAAAGACACAATCTTGTTGATTACAGGTTTCAGAGGTACTGTCTCGAACCCCTTAAAGTCACAAATCGACAATGCTCTCCGGCCAAAGCTTCTTCCAAGCAGAAGTTTGGGTTCTCTTGGCAACCCCTTCCCCCGCCTTGTCGATCATCTTGAGGCAGGCAACGATGTGGAAGTGATTTTTCCAAAACTCTTTAAGAGTGAGGTTGGTCCTCTCAGTCACCCGAAAATAATGCTTGAAGAGTGCTTTAGTGTAGAGCTTCTTAAAGTTAGAAATAACTTGCTGGTCCATGGGCTGGAGTAACGGAGTGGTGTTGAGAGGCAGAAACTGGATCTTGATGAACTTAAATTCTTCAGAGAGGTCATCTGGTAGGCCTGGAGGATTCATGTACATATATCACCAAAAAAAAACACAAGTTCGAGAAAATGTGTGATCACAATCAACACTACGATGCTACTAGAACGAGTGCTAAACACAGACTGATGTAACATGCGCACAATGCGGGTCTTCCCCTCTCCTCGCCACTCGTTATGCGAAACGCCGCTCATTAAGCAAGTCATTTTTTTACTTTTTTTGCTCGTTATGCGAATTACTCGTTATGAGAGGTGCTCGTTAAGCGAGGTTCTACTGTATATGCTACCTGGATATATCTTGTACATCCCATAATTACCCGCATGGCTTCATTCTGTATGCGTTAAAGTTTCATCAGCTGACTCTTTGATATAGTAAGAATGCCAAGTCAAAAATCTTATCACCAATGGGATCAAATGCTGGAACTTTGTGAACAACATTCTTTGTTCCATGTCCATTGCTGCCATAATCTTGAGAGCACTGAGTCCTTTTTTTGGCATTTCACTGCAACAGCATCCACATGATCCCTGAAGGACAGGCATCTATCGAAAATGATACCCAGGTACCTCAGTTTGTTTTCTCTTTTAATGTTACTGTTATTAACTGTGAGGTTTGGAACGTTAGCTTTTACACTTCCATTGTCCAGAGAGCACCACAAAACAGCTGCATTTTCTAAGCGGATCACAGCACCCGTTTCTGCACACCAGTCAGTCACTTTGTCTAGTTGCCTGTAGCTCGAGAGTTATCCGTCACCTATCTCTTCCCTGCCTATATGCATGGACATCATCAGCAAATGTCAATATCCTTCCAACACCTGGTGCTTCAAGTTCTGCAATCTTGCTTGTATATACAATGAAGAGGACTGGTGAAATTGCAGAACACTATGGTAGTTCCAGGGCGAAATTACATGGTTCTAAGGTCCATGTACCCAGGCGAAGGGCTACCATACGTGAATGCAAGACAGCTGCTATCCAGTTCACAACCCAGGGACATACCCCCTTCTCCATGAGTGCAGATAGCAAAATATCATGTCTGACTCTATTGTAGGCATCCTCAAGATCAAGTGCTGCCACAGCTGTAACTACCCAAACCTTTTGGCAGCAGCTCTTCCCTTTCCAAAAACATTTTTAGATTAACAGCAATAATTTTCTCAAGTATTTTGTAGGAATGATCTTTGCCGGGTTTTGGAAGTGGGATTAGGTAGCTGTGTACCCATTCCTGGGGTACTGATACTCTGGTTGCAATGAAAAGCCATCTTCCTCAAGTCTTCATCACTTATGCTAAATATGAAAATGATTTTTGTCAGCCTAGATCTATTCAGGGACTCCACCAATTGTCTTCGTATCCAACCCTTCTTGATCTGCTTAGGCATATTCATTGAGTCGCTGAGAAAACATGCCGGGTGAATTTCTGCGTTTCTAGCCAGGCTACTGCTTCAGTTGCTGCCATGACCTCCATGGTCAAAATGCTTGTCATCAAGGTGAAGGCATCGCATGGCGTTCTGATAGACTATTCTTTGCTTAAAAGCATTTGCCAGTTGTAGCCTTCAAGATTTCTTTCACTGAGCAGCTGACTGGAGGGTACATTTCTTGGAATTAGGCATTTTTCAATTCACAGTATGAAGTATTCACAATGTAAACAGCTGATCAAATGGGCCTTCCTGTAGAATCAGATACCCCATGATCAATCTGAGCCAACAGGAATCGAGAATAGCTCATGCTATGAGTAAGGTGATGTTTACACCCATAAATGTTGGGATGAATGAAAGAGATGTGTATCAGAAAGTTGGCAACCTACGATCCCTAAATCTCACAAACAATGCAAGAAAGATCATAAACAATTACTACAGTATACAATATATACAGTTACCTCCTTTTGCAAGTATCGCTGCTAGGGTTTTAAAAATTTAAATTTAAAAAATGTTCAATAAATTAAAGTTTTTTTAACACATTGTTAGTTAATTAAAGATTACTTTTGTATAACAAGCATCCTTACTGTCTCTATTTGATAGCTGACAGTAAGAGAGAAGCATCTATCTATCTATCTATCTATCTATCTATCTATCCATCTATCCATCTATCCATCTATCTATCTATCCATCTATCTTTCCATCCATCCATCTATCTATCTATCTATCTATCTATCTATCCATCCATCCATCCATCCATCCATCCATCTATCTATCTATCTATCTATCTATCTATCTATCTATCTATCTATCTATCTATCTATCTATCTATCTATCTATCTATCTATCTATCTATCTATCTATCTATCTATCCATCCATCTATCTAGCTGTCTGTCTGTCTGTCTGTCGATATTTGTTTGCAAGCACAGGCACCACTTGTATTCCATGCGGATGGACTAAGGTCATCCCCACAACCCAACCCTGGTTACACTCAGTGTACGCTGTTGGCGTCCAACCAGTCCCTTTTTTTGCCCCTACCTGCGCGTTGGAGGTATATAGGCTGACCGTCGTTTTATTGAACGAAGTTTTTTCGCCAGGGACACTAGATGAGTATCGTTTATTCTATACATTAGAGTCCTATGTAGTCACTTCATAGTTAGAGCCTATTTGTGTATGTGTACTGTGTTGTCCTTCATGTGCTGATGAAGGCTAATCGCCGCAACGTCCTTTGTTTGTTTATTGTGATCGATTTTGTAAAGCTAACATAAACTAATTGTTGTTTCTTACCAACTTTTTCTCTTCCCTATAATTTTCTACTCCTTATAAAAAGTTAATTAAAGTAGGAATACTGCATTAAAACACCTTTTTAAAGGACCAAATCTGACAGAAGACATACTAAGGTGTGTAAAAATTAACTTTATACCAAAAATTATTGATCCGACCCAAATTCTCAACTTTCGTGACCCGCATATTGCCTTAGCGGTAGTAAAGCATTTTTATTTCCTACTGCAGGCAGCCTTTTTTCTCTTAATAGATGATATTTAGTTATAGAACACAAGAAAAGGAATATAATTCATTAATTACAAGTTTTTAACAAAATAACACTCTTCTCAATGAAATGTTGAGGGATGATGTTAGCCCTTGATGTGCTCTATCAAATACACTAAGAAAACTAGTCTTTATTTCTTTTATGTTCTTGATGTCAATGCTTCATCTTTACTTAGTCTACCACTTGCTCTGGGCTCGTTGTTTCTTCAGTCTATGTGGTGGCTGGCAACGAAATTCCTGATAGGTGGCCAAAACATGTAATCTAATGTTTAAAGAACTGTGCAACTTATTTCAGTCCTAGTTTTTTCTAATTACAAAATAACTGATGCAAAGCTGTACAACTATATCAACAGCTTTCAACTAATTTTTCTCTCTGATTTTATGCATATTGTTATGAATGAAATACAAATTTAAAGATAAATAAACATGCTTAAAATAAAAACTGCCAAATTCTCACAATTTTCCATCCCATATTAATATTATTAAAACACAAAAAAATGGAGAAGTTATGAATAAATGTATGCAAATTAAAATAATTTAATTTCCAATACATTCCAATTTATTGCTTAAATCTGATGTTGCTAAGAGTTAAACATTTATGAAAGCTTTTAGAGTGCCATCTCTAAATACGAGTTTAAATAATATAATGTGAGCAAGCATGCCAAAAAAAAAAGACTCACATGACTCCTTGTTCTCTGGAACAAAGCGAATCTCTGTCAACTCATACTCTGACTCTGTGTCCTTTTCATTATCAGACTCATCATTAGAGTTATCCATACCTGAAACAAAAATTAAATTCTGTGTACAAGTGCTGCCCATTTACAGGTTAATGTTAAGTAAACTTCAAGGTATAATAAGCAACCAGTTATATTCCCAAAAATAATCTAAAAGAACACTTGACTTCAGCATTGGTATTTCCCCATTCGATTTTAAATAATATAATTATGTGGTAATACCCCTAAAAATAATTTGTTGATTGTCAAAGACACCTGTTTAAAATCTTAGTCAACTATGCCCACACACAAAGCTTTCTTCGTTATGAAATTAACTAAACACAAATATCATTTTTTTGGGGCCACTATTCTTTAGATAAATATTAGCCTTATTCTCACCAATATCTACAAGTAGTAACGAACTATGGGTGACAAATGTAATCTTTTATTATGACGAATTTAAAACTAAAATTCTTTTTTTAACATTCATACCTGGCAACTTTCCTTCATAGTGACACAAAAGGTGTTCATGTGGAAATGCATTGAGATCTCTGGAAATGGCATGAAGACTAATCTGTCTGTACTCAAGCTGGATGCCTTCATCCCTTGGATTCAACCATAAGACAAAGCTGAAAGACAACATGAAAGTCAAGTAAGTATATGGCAGACCAAAACTAATAATATATAAGAATAGATGTCACATATGTGTCTAGCTGCTCATTGCTTTTTGAGGTGAGGTTACCAAAGTTTTCTCTAGCCACTATTCCTAGTTAAACATTTTCAAATATTTGTCAGACATCTAAACAGCACATAAACAATATTCACATACAAAGACTACACTTATATTCTTGGAAGAGATCGTCAAGAGATTGCCAAGTCAATGCAGAGTGAACTTATTGGCATCTCCTCCTGGTGTGCAGATTCTAATGTTCATGTCAACCCTTCGAAGGCCTCAGTAACGTGGTTCTCCTTGAACACCCATATAGTGAAGGCAGACTTACCAGCAGTGGAAAGCAGCAAAACAAATTTGGACGAGAACAAATCTGATGACATACCTCAGAGTGAGGTTTGATCGCAGCCTATTCTTCAAAGAGCATGTTGACCATGTCATAACATAAGACTTGAGAAGGTGAAAAATGAAGCAATGCACATTATTCTAGGGTGAACTGGAGACACATCTTTTGTAGCAATGAGGTACCTTCTTGACTTCCCTACCATGAACTACAGGATCTAGATCTGGAGGGCTCGTGCATACCTGAAGATAAGCTCAGATCTGAAGCACCCTTTGCATAACATGCTCTTCAAGAAAAATGGCAATAGGCTTATTAAAACGGGCAAATCATGGCTGGGTAGGGTAGAGGATGACATCATGCAGGGTTTACAGACATCCATCCAGGTGAGGAGTGGACACCAGCGTCTAAAGAGCCCATTCTCCTGTGCCGTGACGCTCGATAGGAATTGTCGGGAGCAGAATCCAGCTGCTGTCAATGTCAAGGTATGCACGCTTATCAGTGACAAGTCAGATGAGACAGATGTGGTGATCTTCACAGACGGGTCCGTTATACGAGGACAAAAGAGTACATGGGCATTTACAGCTTGCTCTTCACGCAGAACAGTTCAGGAAGCAAGCAGTGCCTTCTCCATGACCACCAGCAGCATGACGATGACACAGACTTTCATGTCGCTGGGATCACAGGACTATTCTCGCGTGTGTGTGCTGAGTGATTCTTTGAGCATGATCCGGCGGGTCAAGGCAGGTTGGTTACGCAGACAGTGGCTTGAGTTGTTGCAAAATATTCCTGTGTGTGCAGTAACTTTCATATTCGTCCCAGGGTGTGCAGGCGTTGGTAATGAGAGAGCTGATAGACTGGCAGGTGCTGCATTAATTGAAGATGGCCGGCCCATGGATCACGCAGACACTGTTATTGCCCTTAGAGATATAGGACGTTCTGAGGATTTTGGAAGCAACGTGTCCACATCACTGCTAAGTAAAAGCGAATTGGGAGTAAAGATCAGCACAGCCAAGCATAAGAAGCACACTGGACGCATATGAAATCTTGTAAATCAACATAGGACTGGTATTATTAACTGCATGATGCTGATGAAAATGTTGAGAGGGCAATCTGGGTACCTATGGATGTGTCCGGAGTGCTGTGAAGACAATCTAACTCATAACACACTCATACTAAATTCAAGGGAAGTGAGCATCTGACCTACTTAGACACTGAAATGCCTCCCTCGCAGCAAAACAGCCAATGATAAATAGCATCATCATCCTTACTTTATGCTATCACTGCCAAACATGGACAGTGAGTAGGTCACTAGAACAAAATAACATAAGAAGGGACATGGTTATGAAAACAAGCATTAGAAAGAAAGCTGGAATATGACTATGTCCAAATTATACTGACTGACAAAGAATTAAATGGTTAGGTTATTTAGTGAGAATGCAGACAGACCGAACTGCATATGAGATTTTTTTTTTTAACACCAGAACAGCTGGGAGAAAAGGAGAGCATTAACAAAGAAATGGTTAAATGGTAAAGCTGAAACCTGCAAAAAAAAAAAAAAAAACAAATATATCAGCCAAGTCATTTGAGAAGCAGAAGAAAAAAAATAGAAAACTAAGATTCTGGGTTACAGCTTGGTATTAGTAAGACAACAATAGAAAAATAAGATTCTGGGTTACAGCTTGGTATTAGTGAGACAACAATAAAAAAATAAGATTCTGGGTTACAGCTTGGTATCAGTAAGACAACAATAGAAAAATAAAATTCTGGGCTACAGCTTGGTATTAGTAAGTTAGTAAGACAACAATAGAAAAATAAGATTCTGGGTAACAGCTTGGTATTAGTGAGATGACCATAGAAAACTAAGATTGTGGGCTACAGCCTCGTATCAGTGAGACGATCATAGAAAACGAAGATTGTGGGCTACAGCTTAGTATCAGTGAGACTATAACAGAAAAAAAGAACATCTGTCCAATGTTGCTGATCGCTGTTACCACAACTGGTCTGGCAGTGGCGAGTATCAATAATTACATACACACATAAGAAGACAAATATACTTTAAATCAAGTGCATTATTCAATGTCACAATGTAAAATACCTGTAAATACAATTCAAGCCTGTTAATTTTAAAATCCAATTTCCCTATAAAGCTTTAAAGAGTAAATATCTGAGCCACTACAATACAATCACAGTGTATCACTGCTCATACATTATTACCATTAACAAAGAGGGGGCTAGACAAAATAAGACAGAGAGGAAGACAGACATGGGATAGAAGGACAGGCAGTTAGAGAAGGGCAGGCAGATGAAGAGAGTGGGAAGAAAGGCAAGAGAGACAGGAGGAAAAAAGATGACAAAGAATGGAAGATGGAGGGACAGAACTGACAGGCAGAGAGTGACAGGCAGAAAGGAGGGAGAGACAGACAGGGTAGTATAAATAGCCCCACAGAGACAGTGAAGCAAACAGAATGAGACAAATGCAGAGGAAGAGAATGGGAGGGAGATAGGCAAACAGAAATAAAGTGGGAGAGGGAGAGAGAGGGAGAGAGAGAGAGAGAGAGAGGGAGGGAGGCAGTGAAACAGATACAAAAAGAGGGGACAATAAGAAGACAAGCAAACAGAGTAATAATATGCTTATTATAAGTTGAAACACTATTGGTGCTAACAAATATAAGATCACATCAAAAGAGAAAAAAACAACTAATACCAAAAAAAAAACATCACAGAAAAAACCCTAGCCGCATAGTAGAGACAACAACTAGGAAAAGACAGTTTTGTCACTGCAAATTTGGTAAACAAGAAAAAAAAAAAATGGGGGGGGGGGAGACAAAAAATAGAGAAAGGGAAGAAGAAGAATGAGAAAAAGGACAGCATAAGGTAAGATAATTAGAAAAAAGATGAAGACAAGGGAGGAGAAGGAGAGAGAGGGTGAAGAGGAGACAGGACGAAGAGATAGGGGACAGGATGGAGGACAACGCAAGACCAGAGTAAAGATAACAGGGGAAAGAGAGAGAGGAGAACAATTAGACAAGAGAGGCAGATGATTTAAAGAGGGAATGGAAGAGAAGGAGAAAGGTGAGAGAAGAGGAAAGATATTGGGGGAGTTAGAACGCAGACAACCAAATTAACTGCAAACATGAGCAATTCTAAAAACAGAACTGTAATCCAACTGATGTCCTTTTGCCGCACCACAACTTCTCCCTATGTAAATAGTTTCCATAAACAAAAGCAAGACAAGGCTCCAGCCCCAACATGTAGTTATTGATGATAAATAGTGAAAGCCCAAACCAAATAGAAGCGAGCTTTTGAAACAGCAGAGTCTGTTCTTTGGTATTACCACAACTCATTTTCAATATTAAACTTAAAAATACTGAATAAGGTGCTACAGATTTTAGCCATTGCTTTTGATTTCCGCTAAACTGGAGTCAACGAAACCGAGGTATGGGTACTGTCAAGAGCTACAAAATATTTTGCTGATATGAAACAGCAAAAAAAAAAAACTAATATTTAAAAATCTTAATTACACTCGAACTAAACAAATTCAAGTGAATTAAAATGATGAGAAAAAGATATTGCACTAGTTAGGGCACACATTGTTGAGAAAACAATTATTAATCAGAATGCCTTTGCCCTGAAACCCAGAATAAAGAAAGACAAAATGGACCAAATATCATAAGATAATTATTGACAATGACAGGTGACAATGGTGAATAAAATGGGAAGGACATGCAATGAGCTGCACATGATAATGATAAAATGCAAGGTAATTTATTGAGTGTTGGCTGGTTGTGAATTTTTGCTGTAAGAATGTCCCACTGAGGGACAACGCCCAGAAGACAGTAGATTTGGAATTTCAAATATCTGACCAGCTGTGTACGTCCACCAATTAACATTCTGCACTCTAATTCTCTCCTGTGTAAATTAATAGAAGGGGCTTTTGTCAAGCATATGTAGTGGCATTGTTCTTCTTTTCTTACTACTGTTATATCCCCCAACCCAATGAAATTTGAAACCTGAAATTAATAATGTGTAATATTAGCCATTACAGCGTCAACATACACAAATGGCCGCCAAAGACAAAGAGCGTCGAAAAAACAAAAAGTGGAAGAATTCACCTGACACATTTTAGGTTGAAATTTGCTATTATTTCAATATCGAAATACAAACAGAATTGATAACTGACTTTTGTTTTCAGCATGCTTAGCTAAATGCATAAAGTGCAGGGGGCCGCAGTATTATACATGTATCGACAGACCTCTATTGTCCTTCTAAGAGTAAGTAGAACTTAGCTTTTTTACTACTTTACAGATAAGGCTACTTTTTATAAAATAAAATAAAAAACAAAATAGAATGTTTTAACTTGCAGTTTGCGAAAAAATTCCACTTTTACGTGGATTCATAGACTATCAAAAAGCATTTTACAGCACTGAGTGTGTGACAGGGATGTTTTTTGTCGCCTCTCCTATTTCTACTGGCAAAAGACTGGATTATGAAGACAGTAACTGCTAACACCAAGAATGGAATTCAGTGGACCCCTATAAAACAGCTTGATGATCTGGACTTTGCTAATGATATTTCTCTTCTGCCACATTCATGGAATCAAATTAAATTTACTTGATGCGCGATCACAGCAGCTCGGTCTGAAAATCCATAAAGGAAAGACAAAGATAATAAGAGTAAATAAGGCAATGTGGTTTCTCTTAATGATGGCACCCCACTCCAAGACATATAGTCGTACACCTATCGGGGCAGTATTGTAGACAAAGATGGGGGAACTGACAGAGATATTAAAATATGAATACAAAGGCAAGAGGAGCTTTCATAGCATTAGGGAATTTGTGAAGATCAAAAGAAATTAAAGGAAATCAAATACTAACCTTAAAATTTTTAATTCTAATGACTAATCATTACTTCTGTATGGAGCGTAATCATAGAGAACTAAGGCAATTACAAATAAACTACAGATTACCAGATTACCAAACCACAGACATTCATTAACTTTAACTGGTGCATCTGCATGCGCAGAATATTATACAGAAGGATAGAATTATTAGAATCACTGATGTTGAGCTTTTCCCGGCTCGCTAGTGTAGTTGGCTAAACTGGATTGCACGGTGACCGGGTGACGCAACTCCTTGGCCTTGTGGTCCGGGTTTACGCCCGGGGGTAGGCAGAAAAAGCCACATTTTCTCCCCAGATTTATGGTATTTATCATGGAATCAATAATAAATCCGAGACTAAGGGTTAACAACTCATGGCTTCTGGATACTATAAACAAAAAAATGTAGAGTTTAGGAGAAAACTAAGCAGCCTATCTACTAAAGTAAGTCTGAGTACCCTTTTTTTTTTCTGTGTCATCTAAGTGAAATCATTTTACTTGTGGTCAAAATTGAAAATGGAAGCTAGGCAGAGCCATTGTTTTGAGCAAAATTTTCTGTTTCTGCCAGACGAGACGGCCGTTGCATTTTTGCTCCATTTGTAGGCTGAAAGGATATAGTATAGTTTCGTTGCCTAGCTTCTGAGCTGAGTGCATGGCGTGTGTTTAACTGTTTTTGGCCGCCATAATGCCGTTATTCGGAGGATAGCCGAGCACTTATTACTTATTTGCATAAAACTAAATTTGCATGCATAATACATGACATGCATAATATGCAAAGACAGTAGTTATTAGCAGGGTTTTTTCCGTGTAGTCACTGAAAAACATTTTTGTTAAATTAAAGCCACGCAGGGTCCAGTAGTAGTACTTTTTTAAAGAAACTGAAAATTGTCAATTAGTCAATTACAATCTAACAATCAAACATTACCTTTCTGTTATGTATAGCGTTCCAGTTCCGATATTACAGTCTTCAACATTTACTGATACATTAGGCTGTGCATGGTGGATTCCTTCAATTGGAACAGGATAGCTGACTAATAGGACCATTATATTATTTGCCGCGTTTGAAGCTAGAACGTTCGTAGTTTCCACGTTTCCTCCAACAGTCAACAGTGCAGAAGCAGGGTTGCCAGATTTAAAAAAAAAAAATCATTTTAAGCCAAACTACTACTCAAATTACGCCAGAAAAAAATTATAACAGTGTACTCACTTTACATCAAAAGATTTAGATTTAATTCCTGACTGATATCCTCACTGACACAAGTGAAAGATTCATCGTAAACATTTTCAGCTGTTAGTGCAGGTGACAGAATATTTTTTTGTTATGCATGCACTTTTTTTAAATTGTGTATGAACATTTAGTTCTATGCAACTACTCATGTGTTCTAATGAACTCCCCCGACCATTTGCTGTCATGATTTCACTTAGATGATCAGTTGCACAATAGCAGATCATGTTTAAAGCAATTTGCAACTCTGCTGCCTTAACTGTATCATTTCTTTGCCTAGCAGTCATTGTGGTAATAAGTTGTGACTGACTTTTTGGCGGAGTTTTTTTTAAATGATATGATATGTTACTAATTCTTGATGCAATAGTGCACTTACAGTTAACACAGTGTGCTGCCTTTGATCCATCTGAAGATCATTTGAGCTGTGAATATCTTTTTTTCCCAATTACTATTATACTTGCGATAGCTGTCATACAATGATTTCAATTTTTTGGGACAACCGGGCTATTGTGTCACAAACCAGCGGAACACCCCAATGCTCATTGACTTCCACACATCTTGTACCCCCTATGCAAATTAACAAGTTTCAAATGTGGAGAAAAGATATAAAACCGAACGAAAAGTATATCAGCAAGCTTCACAATATAACGAACACAAACAAAACGTGAACGTTTCGGGTATGGAGCCTTCATCAGCAAATGCATAAAAAAAACAATACCACACAAATACACAAAATCACTTACCTTAGTATCTTAAAGCGGCCAGGTCGATGTCTCATCAATAGAATGGCAAGGCACGTGGGACCGGAGAATAAATGCCCCCGGGGAACTGTGTGGGCAGTTCAATCCCTGAGGATTGTAAATGAAACTGTGTCAGTAGTTCAGTCCTCTAGGTTTTAAAGTGCCCAAAGTGAAGATAAAGCGATTTTCAAGAGACTTACGGACATTGTCGCTGGAGTGGCTAGATTTAACGGCTGTCACCACCATGTGGTGGACACCTTGGTGATCTAGTCTCAAATATGGACTCGTGGCGCGGTGATTTCAGTCACAGGCGTAAGGGAAAGTTAAGTCCGATGTGACGTGTAAAAGGAGATACTCCGTATCTCATTCGGGCGCCAGCCTTTTACTGTTCTGGTTTTACGGAACGTCATGCAAGACTCCTACTGCACGTCCCCTTCGTGCGCCATGGATAATGTATCAAATGAGCATTAACAGGGCTGGTAGGGGATCTCATAATTGGCGGCCCCCAGAGGTGTAGTAACCTTTCTGTCCTTTTCTCATTAGCCTGCCCCCAAACATATAGGTGAAAAAGTCTATCAAATCTCATTTGGAACATGAGTAAAGTCTGCTGGCCAAATGCACCACTAAATGACAACTCTTAGTGAAAACTATGTGGAGTGAAAGGAAAACTGCGCTGCTGAGACTCAACCCCTGACCAAGACATTCACTCGCAGCTTAGACGAGTAACATCTCCTGTGGGCTGTTTCTCGTAGTAAAATCCTACCTACGCATATTGTCCGTCAACTCTCAGCGTCGTCGTCACCGCGCTGAGTTACACCACGATAGAAACTGCTCATCTGCTGTCTAGGCACTAATGTCCCTAATGTCCGGCACACGAGCAAAGCTAAATCTAAGTGATTGGAAACAGTCCAAATGTCTGCATCCACGGGGCCCATTCGCCCGAGTGTTGGGATCAAACAGGTGAAGCCATGCCTGACGCATGCTTCTCCACAATGTCGTGCTAAGAGCACATTTGAAACAACGTTAAAGGTGTCTAACGTGCGATGAAGAGGAATATACCTATTTGTGTGGTCACATGACGATTCTTGGGTGAGCCCAGAACTAGAGCGTCATGTGTCGGCTCTGCATTTATGGAAACCTTCTAGGTATTAGTTATTGTGAAGCCCCACCCTGGCTTTCCTGGGGGCCCTAAATATAGCCGGGTCTTAAATATGGCCTAACGGCTGAATGGAGTTTCCGGGACCTCTTCACAGGTGATCCTCGTCCACGTGGTGGTACTCTGTGTCAACGGGTGTTTATCGCTTGTGTGATGTCCTGGTGGGGTACAACTTTCCTGCCTTCCTTATTATAACAAATGACAGACAGAATCATTGTGAGGCTTCACCTAACATTTCACATACATCTCCATGACATGATTAATCCGTTCTTATTGCAGGAAGACAACTATAAGACCACTATGGTAACACGCGGAATATTTTCACATTTTGGATGTATCCAAACCCAAAAACTTGTTTCAGTTCTTTTTGGCAAAGTAAAATACTCAAAATTTTAAAAATTATAAATGGTGGTCTAAAGGACGTTATGTCAAGAGGCTCGCTCTTGATATACGCTGGCCAAAGCAGAAGAAGCTGAAACCAAGAAGAAATCGTCAGAAATGAAAGGGCAATAACAACACAGCTGACAACAGGATGTGGAATTGAAGTTTGGAATTGAGGCGTATTATTTCTACATTATATTTTTGTACTCCTCGTCTCCATGTGCGACAATTTTTAGTTATTTTGAAGCCCTACCCTGGCTTTTTCAGGGGCCCTAAATATAGCTGGGCCTTAAATATGGCCTAGCGGCTGAACGGGGTTTCTCTGACCTCTCCATGGGTGATTCTCAATCCGCATGGTGGCACTTTGTGTCACAGAGTGTTTATCGCTTGTGTGATGTCCTGGCGGGGTACAAGCTACCTACCTACCTACCCTGAGGACTGGCCATTCTCCATAGGGTTGCCATAAGGAAGGTTCTCCGGGGGCAACACCTGTAGATAAAAAGACAATGAATACGCCACGCAAACGAGGCAAAATCTCGTCCCACAAAACAATGGCCACAGTCATCCTAGAGATAGGACTTGACGTCTTCCTTCGAAGTCAGAGTGAACCTGCCGGTGAGACAGGGGGCGATAACTGCACACAAATAAGCCAGTAAAATAGATTTACACACAAAACTCAGGTCCAGGTAAAAGCCAAAAGTTCAAATGGAGAAATAACCGGGACTTTCCGCCAGAGTTGAGTTGAGTCAAGAATTGACACCACGGCATGCAGGGCACTCACATGCGCGCTCCATCCTCATCTTCAGCAGCCAGCGCAGGGTTCCAATACTGATGATGCCGGTCACAATCTGGTTTATTCCGCTGGAATTCATAGCTGATGAACAAGAAGAAGAGGAAGAATAAGAAATATGGAATCTTCTTCCATAAGTAAATAGTCGTTCTTTGATAAGTATGGATCAGGATGTCGGGAAAAGTACTTTGGTCCATCCTATTTCTATAAGAAGTAAATTATATTGTAAATTCACTCACGGCTGTAAGATTTCTACGAGTATAGAAGCCTTTTTCCAGGTCCGAACTACCGCTTTGTTGCGCGCAAGGAATTCTTCCCGCGTCTGACCAGGGTTGCCATATTGAATTTTTTTGACGCCAGATTCCCCAAATTTGGCGTATTTAAAACTGAACAGGCGTATTCTGGCGTGTTTGGGGTTTTCTTGGCTTCTCTTTGTGTGAAACATGCTAATTTACTAAAAGCAAGGTAGGCAGGCCAACAGTCAACATCTTTTTTTTTTTTTTTTCCAATTTGTCTTTGTTGTGATGTCCTGTTACGGCTGGTACATGGACTAAATGAGATTCGCGCCATCTCTTCATGTATGAGCATCTGTGTATGAATATGTTGTCTTACTAAACGGATCGAGACTGCGATAAAGCAAGCCTCTGTAATTTAGCTATAATAAAGCAAGTCATGGATAAACCATCGCACGTTCACACACTTCATGCAGTTCGGACTCACGTAGCCTGGAAGACTTATCTGTTCTGGTGGTGGGAGTTTACTGAGAGGACATAATAATCTACTAGAATAAATGCGGGATATGAAACCCAAAACCACCAGTGGTACCAAGTGAATTCAGACTGTTAAGAAACTACTTGAGGATAGAAAGTAGAGATGACATAGACCTAGATTTTTACTGTGATAGATCCTATTACTTTTATCAATGGCTACATTATCCTCCCCCCCCCCCCCCCCAAAAACGAAAAGCATCTTGTGACAGCAATAGCAAGCATAATAGTAGTTGGGAGGAAACGTACCCATTGTTCAAAAGATCTTCAGATGGATCAGAGACAGCGTATTGTAAACTGTGTCAGTGCACTATTATAACCAAGAATTAGTAACACGTCAAATCATGAAAATTAAAAATAAAAACAAGATCAAAACTCTGTCAAAAAGCCAGCCACGGCTTATTAAAACAATAAATGCTAAACAAAGTAATGATAAAGTTAAGGCAGCAGAGTTGAATCAAAAATGTTTGACACTTAAAATACTCCTCCTGAGTATGTCTTTAAGTGTTTTTAGGCTAACAACTTCCATTCTGTTTTAGTTAGTTTAACAGCGGGTAGCTCCCACACGGTTTTCCTGTATCGCAACTCCAGTTGGTACACCCAGGGTCCGCATTGTTTACCTGTCTCGTGGCTCAAATTGGTCCACCCAGGTTATGCAGTCTATTCAGTGAAAAATCATTTTTCACGAAACTAAAAGCATCACTGTGTTTAGTTTCTCGTATGGTATTGATGAGTCGACTCTGTGGCTAAGTCGATGCGAACGCTTCGCTTCGTAATGCCGGGATGCCGGGTTCGATCCCAGTTGCGGGCAATGCGCCTTGCGTTGGTTTCGTCAGTGGTATCAAGAAAGCCGACCGTAAAAAAAGCAATGGCAAACTGGATGTAAATTTGCCAAGAGAAACTACACAACAGCCAGGGGCTGTTAGGGTTGGTTCTGCAACGTACTGTAAAGGATACGCAACTAACATTTTTATGGTATTGATGA